CTGTGAGAGCTGTTCAGCAGTGGAACTCTCTGCCCCAGAGCGTGGTAGAGGCTCCTTCTTTGGAAGCTTGTAAACAGAGGCTGGATGGCCATCTGTCGGGTGATTTGAATGCAATTTTCCTGTTTCTTGGCAGGGGGTTGGAGTTGATGGCCCATGAGGCCTCTTCTAACTCTTTGATTCTATGATTCTATGAAACTAAACAGTTCCAGCAGAACTTACCTCTCCAAAGGTATCTCCCTCTATGAACCATAAAGGAGGTTAAGATCTTCTGGAGAGGGCCTGCTCTCGGTCCCACCTGCTTCGCAAGTGCAGTTGGTGGGGATGAGAGACAGGGCCTTCTCAGTGGTGGCTCCTCAGCTCTGAAACTCTCTCCCCAGTGAGATTAGATTTTTGCCCTCCCTCCTGGCCTTTAGAAAAAGAACAAAGACATGGTTATGGAACCAAGCTTTTGACTACTGATGCAGTACAAGAAGCCAATATGGAATATGTACAATCGACATTTGAAATGGCCCAGTCTACAAGTTGGATAATGTGATTTTAATGCTTTTTTTAGGTGTTTTAATTCTTCTATTTCATATTTTAAATGTCCTTATATCTTATTAATTGTCCTTATGCCAGGGTTTGACTCAGCAAGGGTTTAACCCATTGTGATATGACTCAGTTCTTTTGGATGCTAGAGCCCTTCATTTCAGCTGGGCAAGGTTTAGTGTCTTTTTGGCACCTGATAATGAGGCAAATAAATGGGCCTTAGAGCCCTCCTCCCTGTGGCTTCCTCTCACATATTTATACATGGCTATCATATCTCCTCTCAGCCTTCTCTTCTTCAGGCTAAACATGCCCCTCTCCTTAAGCCGCTCCTCATAGGGCTTGTTCTCCAGACCCTTTATCATTTTAGTCGCCCTCCTCTGGACACATTCCAGCTTGTCAATATCTCTCTTGAATTGTGGTGCTCAGAATTTGACACAATATTCCATGTGTGGTCTAACCAAAGCAGAATAGAGGGGTAGCATTACTTCCCTAGATCTAGAGACTATACTCCTATTGATGCAGGCCAAAATCCCATTGGCTTTTTTTGCCGCCACATCACATTGTTGGCTCATGTTTAACTTGTTGTCCATGAGGACTCCAAGATCCTTTTCACACGAACTGCTCTCAAGCGAGACATCCCCATTTTGTATCTTTGCATTTCGTTTTTCCTGCCAAAGTGGAGTATCTTGTATTTGTCACTGTTGAACTTCATTTTGTTAGTTTTGGCCCATCTCTCGAATCTGTCAAGATCGTTTTGAATTCTGCTCCTGTCCTCCTGTATTGTATATGTGTGTGTTGGTATGCAATTTACCTTAACTCTTTGTTGTGGGAGGGACCACAGACCATGTGATCAGAACTGGGCTTGTTCAGGACTCAGACTCCATTTTAGAACATTCAGTTTAGGTTTCAGGAAGAACTGTATGCTTCAGACTTTAATGCAAGAACAGTATGCTGTACCAAAGCCATTAGACTCCATTGGAGTATGAACTGTTGATTCCAAGAATAATGCCCTGTGTTACTTACACACAGAGACCACTTCAAATCTACTTGTAAACGGATTGATAAGCAAAGTACCTGTATACTGAATACATGAAGTTTGAGAGTAAACCAACTATGTTACTTTTAAAGAAGTCTACTTATTTTTTGGCTCTTGAGGGTATGATTTAAAAGCAAATATATTTTAAGGGAGAGTAGTTGGAGCTCCTGGTGGTACAGTGTCTGGACTTAATGTCAGGGGAAAACCTTTACCTTTACCTAGATGTTTTTTAGGCAACTTAAACGCTTCTGGTTATGTGTGTGTGTTTGTGCATTGGGATATCTTTGTCCCTAAGAGAACAAAGGCATATCTAGGTACATCAGTTTAACAGCTGAGAAACCTAGTTGCCTTGCATGAATGCTGGTGAATGCCATTTCTCCAAAAGGTTATGACTCTAACAGGTCATGCTTTTTACCAAGAGGTTTTGGCATCATTATTAAAAGCTTGTGACTTCTAACAAGGTCATGCCTTTCCAAAGATCACAAAATCTCCAAAAGGTTCTGAAGATTTCCATTTTTCAAAATTCATCAAGTCCCTATAAGTAAAATCTGACTTCTGACTTAATGGCAAATAACAAGTTTTAATGTAGCGAAGCAAATAGGTCTACACTGCACCTGAATCCTCTTTGAAGAGCAAAGAAATCAGGAAATACGGGGAAAATGGAAGGGGTTCAAAATAAAGAATTCTCAATAAAACTGAGGCCATGGCCATAAGTTTTGGTTCTGCAAAGTGCATTAGTATTAAGATATCTTTATTCTCAATAGATCAAGATTTGTGTTGTGGGCCTGACCTGCACAGTGCTTAAGCCATAACACTTTTCTCACCTGAATTGCACAGTTTGCAGACCCACTGATCATTAATGAATAGATGGCTAGTTTTTCATGGGACATTTCCAAAGGATTTTATACCTTGGGAGTTGCAGCTTTGCTAAGGAGAGGAGAGAAGTGGTGGGTTTATTGCCTTTGTTTTGTTTCTTTCTGATGCCCTGGGAAGATTTTATGTCATGTCCTTCCCCATTCAAAAGCCCCATTTGAAGTGACTTGTAGGTCAGGATATAGGGAGTTCCTGTGGGAGTTAATTTGAAAAGTGGAAGAAAGTGTCTCTCAGGCCAAAGTATAGAGACTGGCGCCAACTGGGAATGAGATTGGAAAGGCATTGAGCATTCAGCAAAGTGTCTTTCCAAGTAACCACCTCAAACACAATTTTTGAAGGAAAATCCAATATGATTCAAAGTAACAATCCCATATTGAAAGCCATTTATTTCTGCAATAATATTAAGGAATGAGTCCAATGTCAGGGGCCTTAGTCCAGAGTTTGGCTCAGTGCTGACTTCTCCTGAACCCAAGTCTTCATTTCAGCTCAGCCAGTCCTCTGTTCTTGGCCTAACAAGAACAAAAGAAGAATGAAAAGGTACAAATACATTTTCACATAATTTTATGCCTTGCTTCTCTGTCTTAATGCAGTTTTTACCAAAAGAAACATCATAAATGAAAGTGTGTGTTGAGCCAAAGGGAGAGGATGGTTGTTAAAGGCTTTCATGGCCGGAATCACTGGGTTGCTGTGAGTTTTCCGGGCTGTATGACCATGTTCCAGAAGAATTCTCTCCTGATGTTTCACCTACATCTATGGCAGGCATCCTCAGAGGTTGTGAGGTCTGTTGGAAACTAGGCAAGTGAGGTTTATATTAGCTATGAATAGCCTGGCAGCTTCAAAGTCTGGCTGTTTCCTGCCTGGGGGAATCCTTTGTTGGGAGGTGTTAACTGGCCCTGATTGTTTCTTGTCTGGAATTCTCCTGCTTCTGAGTGTTGTTCTTTGTCTACTGTCCTGATTTTAGAGGGTTTTTTTAAAAATACTGATAGCCAGGTGTTTTAACACATCACAACAAAGGATTCCCCCAGGCAGGAAGCAGCCAGGCTTTGAAGCTGCAAGGCCATTCAGTGCTAATCTGGCTGGCCAACTGCAACATTCACACTTGCCTCAGGCAGACAAGAGCTTTTTCACCCACTCTGAACATTCCACAGATATATAAACCCCGCTTGTCTAGTTTCCAACAGACCTCACAACCTCTGAGGATGCCTGCATAGATGTGAGAGAATGCTTCTGGAATATGGCCAGACAGCCTGGAAAACTCACAGCAACCTGGAGAGGATGTTGTTTCACTATTCTACTTCATCCTTCCTTGCTGTCTTGTATTAAGAAGACCTAAAAACAGTTGTGTGGGCAGAAACCAAGTCTTGCGACTGGTTCCATTACCAGAAAATTGATGGAAGGAGGATTTAGAGCAGGCACGTGCAAACTTGGGCCCTCCAGGTGTTTTGGACTCCAATTCCCACCATTCTTAACAGTCTCAGGTCCTTTCCTTTTCCCCTTAAGCCTTGAACCATTGAGGGCCAGGCAGGTGATTCTCTGGAGCAGGACTGGGTAAACCTGGGCCTTCTGTTTTGCACTCCAACTCCCACCATTCCTAATAGCCTCAGACCCTTTTCTCTTAAGCGGCTGAGGAGGAAAAGGAAGGGGCTAGAGCAGTGGTTCTCAACCTGGGGTTCTCAGATGTTTTTGGCCTACAACTCCCAGAAATCCCAGCCAGATTACCAGCTGTTAGGATTTCTGGGAGTTGTAGGCCAAAAACATCTGGGGACCCCAGGTTGAGAACCACTGGGCTAGAGGCTGTTAGGAATGGTGGGAGTTGGAGTCCAAAACACCTGGAGGGCCCAAGTTTGCACGTGCCTGGTTTAGGGTTTCGACTGGACCATTCATATATTATGGGTTTGCTCTTGGCTCTGTTCTAAAGGGGGCAACACCCTTGAAAGGGCCTCCTCAATCAACCAATGGCTGCCTTTGTTCTTTGTTTTGACTGGCATTGATATGTAGAGAAATCTGTGCTTGAGATGAGGCCAGAGGAGACCGAGGTTGGAAGTGGTTCTGCCGAAGCTGAGATCGTGGAAGGACGGGGTAAGTTGTGGCCTGAGGGATTCCTCCCAGGGGCCTCTGCTCCCTGGCTGCCTTGGGGATGCTGGGAGAGGCGCAGGCCCATTTCCTCCTCCGCGCCCGACGGCTTTGATGGAGGTGCAAACATCTGGGCCCGGCTTGGCATCAAGGAGCCGCATCCCAGCAATTCGCATCCCAGGCCTGTCCCCGGGCCGCGTTCTGATATGGCCGCAGGGAGCCAATCAGGGGGGAGATCCCAAGACATCAAAGGGAGCTCCCTCCAATCAGGGCAGCCACCTGCCGGCTTTGTGATGTCACCAGGGGGGTATTTACGGGGGGAGGCCGCAGCAGCCCCCGCCTGAACAGTAGCCAGAGGCGCCGGGCGGAGGTCAAGTGGAATTAACCCCTCCGGTGCGGGAGAGCCCTCCCTCGGAAAGCCCTCCCCTGGCGGGCGGCAGGATCACCCCGCCAAGCCCCGAGGACGGCCAAGCTGGAGACTGCGGCCGGGATGGCGACTCCGAGCCCCGACAGCGCCGGCAAGAGCCTGCAGTACCGCGTGGATCACCTGCTGAGCGCCGTGGAAAACGAGCTGCAGGCCGGCAGCGAGAAGGGCGACCCCACCGAGAGGGAGCTGCGCGTCAGCCTCGAGGACGGAGAGCTGTGGCTCCGCTTCAAGGAGCTCACCAACGAGATGATCGTCACCAAGAACGGCAGGTAAGAGGAGGAGGATGGGCGGGAGGGGGAGAGAGGGGCACTACAGGGCAGAGAGACGCTCAGGGGGCAGCCACACTGGAAAAGGAAGGAAGGAAGGCCCCTCGACGACGCCGGAATTGCGTCCCACATTATCTCCATTGAACTGGGTTATTTGAGGGCCCTTCCACACAGCCCCGTATCCTAGAATATCAAGGCAGAAGATCCCACAATATCAGCTTTGAACTGGGTTATCTGAGTCCACATTCACATTATGTGGGATTTCCTGCCTTGATATTCTGGGATATAGGGCTGTGTGGAAGGGCCCTCAGAGCTAGGGAGTCCTGGAAAGTTGGAGCTTCGCGGGACCCTTCTCCGCCAAAAAAGGACGTGCATGGATCCATGGCAGCTAAAGTGGCATCCCGTTGAGTTCCATCTACAGTTGTATAGGCACCCTTTGATCTCCTTTGGCTTTCCCAAGAATTCGCCCAAAGCTAGTGGAGAGAGAAGCTGTGCTCCAGATTTACGAGTCAAAGCCTTCCCCTCCTCCTCCTCCTCCTCTTTCCCGTCTAGTCGTTGAGGTTACAAGTGGGCGCCCTTCTCCCCCAAAGCGACTTCCCCATTCCGGTCTCTCTCTCTGTTTATCTGGATGACTCCCTTTCTCTTTGGCCTCCTTCTCCCCTTGTTGTTGTGGGCCTTCAGTTTGCCTAAGAGGAGGCCCCTTGGCGCAGTGGGTTTAACAGTGGTGCTCAGCCTGTGGGTCCCCAGGTGTTTTGGCCTTCAACTCCCCAGAAATCTTAACAGCTGGTAAACTGGCTAGGATTTCTTGGAGTTGTAAGGCAAAACGCTTGAGGGGCCACGGGTTGAGAACCACTGGGTTAAACACCCTTGTGCCGGCAGGACTGCTGACAGAAAGGTGGCAATTTGAATCCGAGGAGCATAGTGAGTTCCCGTCTGTCAGCTCTAGCTTCTCATGCCGGCACGTGAGAGAAGCCTTTCAGAGGATGGCAAAACATCTGGGCAACGTCCTTGCAGACAGCCAATACTCTTGCAGTTTCTCAAGTCGCTCCTGACACGGAATAAAGAGCTTGCCTAAGAAGTTGCCTCCATCCATTTCCCAGGGTTTCCTTAGGCAAGGAAGATTCAGAAGTAGTTTAGCCAGGTCTTTCCTCTGAAATGTAGCTTGCAGCACCTGGTATGATCTCCTAAGAATTCCCAAGGACTTCCAAGAATTCCCCAGGCTAACTCTGATGGAACTGATTTCTTCTTCCTTCTTTGACCCATAGACTTCTCCTACCCTCTCCTTCTCTTTCAATATTTTCCCCTTCATTTCTATATCCCAAAAGTTTGCATCTCTCAATTTTTTCACTGTGGCCAATACACATTTTGGTGCCTCAAATGTTAGCGTTGTTTCTGGGTATATTTGACCTGCTGATTCCTCTTTGCCCTCCAGAGAGGCATGGGCAAACGCCCGGATGTTTTGGACTTCAATTCCCACAATTCCTGACAACCTCGGGCCCTTTCCTTTTCTCCCTCAGCCGCTGAAGCGGGAAAGTTTGCCCCTGGCTGCTCCAGAGAATCACCTGCCCGGCCCTCAATGGCTCAAGGCATCCCTCGCCAAACCCATCGCTGTCGGTGGGGCCTTCTCAACCTCACCTTTCCCGTTGTTCTATCTCCAATCTTGATCTATCAGAAGGCGAACTGGTATGGGAGACTGCCATGGAGAAAAGGATCTCCCCCTTCCTGCAATCCAAGCACAGAATCAAGTGTCTTTGGATTCCAAAATTGGGGTGGAAAATTATTCTCATCCGAGCTGAAAATCCTAGCGCCATGTTTTCACTTCTTCAGAACTCCGCTAATCCAAGGCCACGCCATGCATTTCAGGCAAGAGACCCTCAGAGGTGCCACTTCCTAACCTGGAAGGAGATTGATATTTCACATTTTTATAGTAAATACTTGGAGCGATCTCAGTGTAGTTTTCATTTTTTTTTCGTGTCAGGAGCGACTTGAGCAACTGCAAGTCGCTTCTGGTGTGAGAGAATAGGCCACCTGCAAAGACATTGCCCAGGGGTAGTTTGATTTTTTACCATCCTTGTGGGAGGCTTCTCTCATGTCCCCGCATGGGGAGCTGGAGCTGACAGAGGGAGCTCACCCGCGCTCTCCTCGAATTCGAACCTCCGACCTGTCTGTCTTTAGTCCTGCCGACACAAGGGTTTAACCCACTGCCGCCACTGGAGTTGAATCTCCAGGAAACATTTTTCAAAAAAGGTTTGCCTTCCCTTCGGTTTGCGCCCTCTCGTCCTCTTCAGTTTCTTGAACGCAGTTCGATGATGGTTTCCTTCCGTTTGGCCAGGCTTTCCTCAAAAATAAAATGTAAATTTCGAGGTTTGTTTTCTAGAATGCGGCTCGGAATCCCTGAAAGGGACAGCAAGCCCTTCTTTCTCCGCCTCTTCGCCTCAAAGTGCGACTCCGCGAGGAGGGCTCCTTCACACCGCCCTCTTCCCAGATCAAAGGGACCAGGAAATGAGCAGACCAAAGGGGACATTTCCCCAGCCCTTCCCGTGGGATCCACTCCCGGGCTTTGAGAGCAAGGCTCGCCCTGAGCTTGCACGTCGGGGCTCATTTCCTAAAGGCATTCGCGCCTCATCCCTCCAAACTATTCTTAAAAGCCGATGCCAGGGGTTGATATTGATGTGAACCCACGGGAAGGGAATGGCCTTCCACGGAGGTTGGCTTCACTTCCAGATTCTGCCCCACTACATGCACTGCATGTACGAGGGGGAAAATCCCCTCCTTTCCAATGGAATCAATGTATCGGGACACTGCTTTAACGGCCATAGTTCAGTGATAGGGAATCCTGGATCAGCATTATATGAGAACACAGAAATGCTGGACCACCCTAACCACTACCATGCCAGACTTCTGCAGGAGTCTACCGTGTACCATGCAGCTGTGGATAAGTCTACGTAGGGACCACCAAAACGCAGCGTTGCCCAAACACGAATCAAGGAACATGAAAGGCACTGCAGACTAAGTCAACCAGAAAAGTCAGCCATAGCAGAGCACCCGATGAACCAACCTGGAGACAGCATATTATGTGAGAACATAGAAATGCTGGACCACGCTAACAACCACCATGCCAGGCTACACAGAGAAGCCACTGAAATCCACAAGCATGTGGACAACTTCAACAGAAAGGAGGAAACCAGAAAATGAACAGAATCTGGCTGCCAGTACTGAAAAACTCTAAAATCAGGACAGTACAGAAAGAACAACAGTCAAATAACAGGGGAATTTCAGGCAAGAAACAACCGGGGCCAGCTAATCACCTCCCAACAAAGGATTCCCCCAGGCAGGAAGTATCCAAGCCTTGAAGCTGGAAGGCTATTGCAGGATAATCAAGTTGATCAGTTGCAACATTCACACTTGCCTCAAGCAGACAAAAGTTCTTTCTCCCACCCTGGACTTTCCACAGATATATAAATCTCACTTGCCTAGTTTCCATCCCAGCCTCTGAGGATGCCTGCCATAGTTGTGGGTGAAACGTCATGCTTCTAGAACATGGCCATAGAGCCCGGAAAACTCACAGCAACCCAGTCCTATAAGGTCTTTTAGCCCTCGCATCCATAGCGTGTTGGTGCCTTGACAAACTACCAATCCCAGGATTACATACCATTGAGCCAGGGCAGTTAAAGTGTTGTCAAAGTGAATTAATTCGACATTGCAGACATACCCTAAGAACTTGCTCTTTGATCCGGGGGAGGAGGGCTCTCTGGGACCCCTACTACACTGCCATATGAAATCCAGAATATCTGCTTTGAACTGGATTATCTGGCAGTGCAGAGTCTTATAATCCAATTTAAAACAGACTTATTTATTCATTACGTATCAAAAGCATTGCATAAATTAGTACAAAACTGATAAAAATAGAAGGCGTACAAGCAGCTAAATGTCTTTTGACCAAAAACGGGCAACATTGACCCGCATTGTCTGTAGCCTCAAACAATTCTTCCTCTGTACATGAAGCAGGACATTGCGGGCAAGCATACAAATGAGGAGTGGTCTGTTTTGCTCCACAGTCGCACACAGCAGATACTCTGGGATCACATCCTGGGATATAGGGCCGTGGAAATCCAGCCTCTCTTTCCGTTTTGCTGGAAATCCAGCAAAACGGTTTGAAAATCCTGGAACACAAACCACAGGCAGAGCCTTGGGGCACCTTAAGGGCAAGGGCTTTCTTTCGGGCGTGTTTGTGGGAGTTTGTCGGCCTCAGCTTCCTGCACGAAAGGCTCTTTCTGTCTGCCTGTCCTTCTGCCTCCTTCCCTTTCCTCCCGCAGGCGCATGTTCCCGGTGCTGAAGGCCAGCGTCTCGGGGCTGGACCCCAACGCCATGTACTCCTTCCTGCTGGACTTCGTGGCGGCCGACAACCACCGCTGGAAGTACGTGAACGGGGAGTGGGTGCCGGGGGGCAAGCCCGAGCCCCAGGCCCCCAGCTGCGTCTACATCCACCCGGACTCGCCCAACTTCGGCGCCCACTGGATGAAGGCGCCCGTCTCCTTCAGCAAGGTCAAGCTCACCAACAAGCTCAACGGAGGCGGACAGGTGAGAAGCATCCTCCCTTCCCACCAGTCGTCCTTCGTATGCAGACAGGGCTCCTGGGGGTGCAGAGCGTTCCCATCTTGAACACTGGAGAGGGCTCCTGGGGGTTGGGACCACTAGCGGGGTCAGAGAGGTCGCCAAAGACCATCAGAAAACACAGTCTTTTCTGTTGGCCATGGAGTTCCGTGTGGGAAGTTTGGCCCAATTCTATCCTTGGCGGGGTTCAGAATACTCTTTGATTGTAGGTGAACTATAAATCCCAGCAACCACAATTCCCAAATGTCAAGGTCTATTTTCTCCAAACTCCACCAGCGTACACATTTGGACATATTGAGTATTAGTACCAACTTTGGTCCAGATCTATCATTGTTTGCGTCTACAGTGCTCTCTGATGTAGGTGAACTACAGCTCCAAAACACAAGGTCAATGCCCACCAAACCCTTCTAGTATTTCCTCTTGGTCATGGGAGTTTTGTGTGCCAACTTTGGGTCAATTCCATCATAGGTGGGGTTCAGAATGCTCTTTGATTGTAGGTGAACTATAAATCCCGGCAGCTATAACTCTCCAATGTCAAGGTCTATTTTCCCCAAACTCCCCCAGTATTCACATTTGGGCATATTGAGGATTTGTGCCAAGTTTGGTCCAGATCTATCATTGTTTGACTCCACAGTGCTTTCTGGTTGTAGGTGAACTACAACTCCAAAACTAAAGGTCAATGCCCACCAAACCCTTCCAGTATTTTCTCATTTTCTGTGTGCCAAGTTTGGTTCAATTCCATCGTTGGTGGAGTTTAGAATGCTCTTTGATTGTAAGTGAACTATAAATCCCAGCAACAACAACTCCTAAATGGCAAAATCAGTCATCCCCTCCAACCCCACCAGTATTTGTACCAAATTTGATCCAGTAAATGAAAATACATCCTGCATATCAGATATTTACATTACAATTCACAACAGTAGCAAAATTAGAGTTAGGAATTAGCAACGAAAATAATTTTATGGTTGGCGGTCACCACAACATGGGGAACTGTATTAAGGGGTCGTGGCATTAGGAAGGTTGAGAAACACTGTTTTAAGGACAGGGTGAAAGATAAGTAAGAAGCAGCACTTGGCTGAAAATCCCGCATCTACAGAACCTTTAAAGCCCCAGGAGCTTTAAAGTTTGATTCTGGCTACTTGTGACACAAGGGTCATCTAAGAGCAGGTCAGCCTTGTCTCACATTTGAGATTTTGGAAATACAATTGTATCCCCTGCCCAGCCTCAAAATTTCAGAACACACCTTTTTTTGCATATACGCCCACAGTAAGGCAATTCTATCCAATATTTTTTATCATTTAGTGCAGGAAACATAGTTAGTGTACATTAAACTTTCAGAAAACAAAACTGTCTCTATTTCAGCAAATCACATGAACGTTTTTGGGATTTGGGATAAGGGGCACTCTCCCTTCTTTGCTGATAATTTTGAAGATGGAAAAAGATGGGAAAGCCTATACCTCTGTTTATGTATTGTCTGTCCTTGTTAATTGTATAAGGGCATTGAATGTTTGCCGTATATGTGTTCTGTAATCTGCCCTGAATCCCCTGGGGAGATAGAGTGGAATATAAAGATGATGATGATGATTATTATTATTATTAAAGACATTGGCATTCTTCTAATATCCTGTTTATGTGCTTCAGTATCATCAAGTAAATATGCAGAGGCCTGTGGACCAGCTATTTGCCCCTTTTCTTGACTACTATTGCCACCTCACTCCATTTGTCTGAAGGAAGGTTCTCCATACTTGGGCAATGGGAATACTTTTGGCCTAAGAGGAGTGGTTATCTGTTTGTCTTCTCATATTGAGCATTGCCTGAGAGCTATTCCCAAATGGAGAGTGTTACCTACAGTGGAACTGGGATGGTATTGTGTACTTGTAACACACCTGTTCTTATGGTAAGGGCTGCTTCTTGAGTGCCAGACTGTGAGCTATTGCTGCAGATATTAGAGTGACAGTGTGATGTATAGATCGAGACAGAATGGCCATCTGTCAGGGGTGCTTTGAATGTGATTTCCCTGCTTTCCTGGCAGCGGGTTGGATTGGATGGCCCATGGGGTCTCATCCAACTCTATGACTTTATGAGACCTTTTCAGACATAATGACTATGCCAAATAATTTGAATGAAGCCTGTTGTCCTCTTCCCCAATTTGCACACCGTCATTTGAAGGTGTGAACAAAGTCTGTTTATGTACATACAGCTGTATTTGTATTGTTTCTAGAAGGGGTAACTGTGGTGTGTCTTGTGGCAAAAATATTTTGTGACATCTTAAAGACTAATATGTACCATGGCATAGGCTTTTGTGCCATTTTATTAAACATAAAGTTTTGTAAGCCGGCCAACGCAGGATAATATCCGATGCATTTGAGAAACAACAACAACAACAACAACAACAACCTTTATTTGTACCTCACCCCATCTCCCCAAGAGACTTGGGGAAGTTTACAACATGAATAAATACAGAAAGATACATAAAATAAAATAAATACATCACATCAATATAAAAACAAACAACATAAGCCAAAACACAGGTAAACAAAATTAACAATAAAACTATACAACATTAGTTGAAAACACAGTCATTCCTATACGTTAAAAGGGGCCTACTACTCCAGTCAAAAGAGGACTCTGGAATATAAATAAGCATTCAATATCAATTTTGGGGTCTCCAAGGTGGAAGGCTATGACATGTTTGCCTTAGGGTCACTATAAGTTGGAAACAATTTAAAGGCACACTACAACACATCAACAGAAATGATTTATGCTGTTGAGTTATACCTGTCAGTGTATGTATCTCTCTTTATCTCTGTGTATTATGTGTCTGTAGTGCCACAAAAATGACTTGGGAGTCTAAATAAAGGCCATGGGTCACATTTTGCCTACAACTGAATTTGTGTCCTTGGTAGCACAAACGTTTATGTTCTTTAGCTATGCTCCTAACGCTATTTTCAACATATATCAATTATCATTCTTTGATGTAGTTTTACATGGAATAACCAGCTAGTTTATGAGCCAAATCTGCATTAGTGTAGACCAGTGTTAAACAATCTACATATCAATTGTAAGAACAGTTAGAGCAGTGGTTCTTGACCTGTGGGTCGCCAGGTGTTTTGGCCTCCAACTCCCAGAAATCCCAGCCAGTTTATTAGCTGTTAGGATTTGTGGGAGTTCTTTTTTTGTCATGTCAGGAGCAACTTGAGAAACTGAAAGTCGCTTCTGGTTTGAGAAAATTGACCATCTGCAAGAACGTTGCCCAGGGGATGACAGGATGTTTTGATGTTTTACCATCCTTGTGGGAGGCTTCTCTCATGTCCCTGCATGGGGAGACGGAGCTGACAGAGGGAGCTCATCTGTGCTCTCCCCAGATTCCAACCTACAACCTGTCGGTCTTCTGTCCTGCTGGCACAAGAGTTTAACCCACTGCACCACCAGAGTTGAAGGCCAAAACACCTGGGGACTCATAGGTTGAGAACCACTGAGTTAGAGAATTTGAAAATATATTGTGAAGAGCACTTCCTCTACCCGTCTGGCTCAGAGGATGGACAACTATTGCTGTCCAAATAGCTTTGCATCTTTGCTTTTGTTGTTCTCAGTTTATTTTGGAAGGAAAATAAACAACTTGTAACAGAGACATAGAGTTTGAGCAGAGATTTTTGCACTCACTCAAGACATAATGAGGGGAACTATACAAACAAATTCTAATGGTAAAAGAAGAAATAATAGAGGAAATAGAGGAGAAATTCCTCTAGAACATGGCTCTATAACCCGAAAAAACCCACAAGAACCTAATAGAGGAAATATTTGAAATGTGGAAAATTGATATGGAAATTGAGAGGGTAGATGTCCAAAGGGAAATAAGAAATATAGTCACTCCTTTCCACCTGCTACTAAGGAGGCTGTCCAGGTCCTGAACCAGTGCTTGGCCGCTGTGACGGTCTGGATGAGGGCGAACAAATTGAAATTGAATCCAGACAAGACAGAGGTACTCCTGGTCAGTCGAAAGGCCGAACAGGGTATAGGGTTACAGCCTGTGTTGGATGGGGTCGCACTCCCCCTGAAGACGCAGGTTCGCAGTCTGGGTGTGATCCTGGACTCATCGCTGAGCCTGGAGCCCCAGGTCTCGGCGGTGACCAGGGGAGCATTCGCACAGCTTAGGCTCATGTGCCAGCTGCGCCCGTACCTTGGGAAGTCTGACTTGGCCACGGTAGTCCACGCTCTTGTTACATCCCGCTAGACTACTGCAACGCTCTCTACGTGGGGTTGCCTTTGAAGACGGCTCGGAAGCTTCAGCTAGTCCAACGCGCGGCAGCTATGATACTAACAGGAGCGGAGCGCAGGGAGCACACAACTCCTCTGCTGCACCAGCTCCACTGGCTGCCGATCTGCTACCGGGCTCAATTCAAAGTGCTGGCGTTGGCCTTTAAAGCCCTAAACGGTTCGGGCCCAAGCTACCTATCCGAACGTATCTCTGCCTATGAACCCACCAGGACTCTAAGATCTTCTGGGGAGGCCCTGCTCTTGATCCCGCCTGCATCACAAGCACGGCTGGCGGGGACGAGGGACAGGGCCTTCTCTGTGGTGGCCCCTCGGCTGTGGAACGCCCTTCCCATGGACATAAGATCAGCTCCGACGTTATTGTTTTTTCGGAAAAAGCTAAAAACCTGGTTGTTCGAACAGGCATTCAGATAAACGGTGCAATGAATATGATGAATATAGGAACGGAATTATAGACGACGAACTGGATCACGATTTTAGTTACGAGACGTTGTTGTGTTGTTGTTGATGTGCCATTATTGTATATTGTGCTTTCATGGTTTTTAAATCGTTCTGCTATTTTGTTATGACTGTTTTTGCTATGCTGTGAACCGCGTTGAGTCGCCTACGGGCTGAGAAACTGCGGTATACAAGCAAAGTAAATAAATAAATAAATAAATAAATAAAGGAAAAAAATATAATGCACTAAGGGAAGTAAGAAGGAAAATGTTACAAAAATGTATAGAACTCCTGCACAACTTTCATGTTTTTTACTGGGGTAAAGGACAGGTGTTGGCATGGCTGTAAACAAAGAGGTATGTTTAATCACATGATATCAGAATGTGATAAGATTACAGGTGTCCAGTAGAATTATTGAAGGAGAAATTGATAGAATGTTAAATCTTCAAATAATAATAGACAATAGAAATGTATTGCATACCAGGAGTGCATAATGTACAAAAGGAAAGAGAGGTTGACAAATTGGTAGTGTGTGTACAAATAATTTTAGTGAGAGGTTGGAAAGATTAAACAAAGTGGACTCTGACAAACTGGTATAATTATATAATTAATGTGTTAAATGTGGAAATAACAAATTGTAAATGGAACAATACAGATAAAATAGAAAATGTTATAATAATTAAGAATATTTGGGATCCAGTTAGGAATTACTTAGAGAATGTATTAAGAAGTGGAGTGGAGAAATTGAAAATAAAACTGATATTTCAAATGTAATTTCTGTAGTTTATTGTGCAAACTGTCCAGGGAGAGGGGCAAATGGTGGGAGTGGAAGTAAAACAATAAATAAAAATATTTTTTAAAAAAAGACATAATGATGATAAGGAGTCAAACTGGAAGAATTCTCCTAATCCATAGGAGAAATTTCTCCCCGGTGGCGCAGTGGGTTAAACTCCTGTGCCAGCAGGACTGAAGACTGACAGGTCGCAGATTCGAATCCAGGGAGAGGCGGATGAGCTCCCTCTATCAGCTCCAGCTTCTCATGTGGGGACATGAGAGAAGCCTCCCACAAGGATGATAAAAACATCAATTCATCCGAGCGTCCCCTGGGCAACGTCCTTGCAGACAGCCAATTCTCTCACACCAGAAGCGAATTGCAGTTTCTCAAGTCACTCCTGACATGACAAAAAAAAATGTAAAAAAATTATTTGGTTTGACACTTAGCCAAAAATACCATCACTTCAGGTTTATGTTGTTGATATGATGTGCCTTCAAATTTACTCCAACATAAGGCAACCCTAACCTAAGTTTGCTTGGCAAGATTTATTCAGGAATTTGCCATTGTCTTCCTTTAAGGTTGAAAGACTGTGTCTTGTCCAAAGTCACCAAATAGGTGTCCAAACTATCCGTAACACTGAGCAGAGATGTGAACATTGGTCTCTTGGAGTAGCAGTCCACACTCAGATCACTACAACACTCAGCTCTGTGCTTTAATTATTTAGCACATTATATGTCTCTATTTTGTTCATACTGAATTGTGTTGGTGAAAGCAAATGTGTGCCTCTTCAGATACTGTCTGTATGGAGCTAATTTCGTGACTTGATATGCTGGATAGAGACAAGTATGTTTGCCTGCAAAAGGAACCTCTTTAGTGCACGAGCAGATCAGACAGACATTTCTAACCATAGTTTCCCATTCAACTGGATTGGGGATTTTTGGTTACTAAATTACTAGGGTATCAAAACTAATTTCATATTGTTTAGGAACTTCACTTCTTTCAAAGCTGAAACAAATTTAGATGAACAAGCAATTGTTTTTAGAGATTGTTCTGATTCCTTAGGCCATGAAAAGACCACGCATGTGCGGTGAAACCTCTCACGACCTTCATGGCAATGGGATTTTTCCTCTGAATTTTAGTTTCAATATTTAAAGAGCTAACTGGTCTCTAGAATAGTCCCTTTAAAGTTAAGACTAAAAGTGGGGGCAGATTAACTACCTCTACAAACATGAAAGATACTGGTTACCACTGCATGTGCAGCATGGAGACAAAGGACTTTGTCATATTTTAGTTTGCAACAAGATACTATTTTCCAAATTTTATCCCTTCCTTAAATTAAAAGGAAAAGACAGGTCAGATGTTTGGTTTCCCTTTTTTTTTGCAATTTATGTAGCCTAATGTTATTAACTGTATCATCTGGATTTTTAAAAACTTGTGGTATAATATAAATACATTAAGTACTTCTGCCTCAATGCTGACTTATTATCTTTACTTACATTAACAGATTATGCTGAACTCTTTGCACAAATATGAACCTAGGATTCATATAGTGAGAGTGGGTGGCCCTCAGCGGATGATCACCAGCCATTCCTTCCCAGAGACCCAATTTATAGCTGTGACGGCTTACCAAAATGAGGAGGTAGGCACAAAGTGTATTCCTTCTTTTAAGAGTGCAGAAGTGTGTGTGTGTGTGGGGGGGGGGGCGATTCTTGGCATAGAAAGAAGGACATTAAGTTGGGATTACATTGACTGTGTTTAAAATAATTTAAAAAGATGCCATAGAAGATATGAGAGCATTGCACGCTTCTAGTGAACACTGGGTTGTTTTAAAAGCAGATCAACTGCTGGTCTATCGATTTTAAATATTGAGAAAACTGCCTAAATAAATCAGAAGAGCTCAGCAGGGGTGGAGGTTGCATGGGGGTATTGGGGTAACGATACAAAAGGTTTGCTAGGGTAGACCCTCTTTCACTCAGACTCAGCCCCCCCCAGAACCAAACTTAGCCCCCTCCCCCCGAAACAAAATCCTGGCTACGGGCCTGATGGCTGCATAACAGTATGATAGCCACAATTTAAACCATTTTCTGTAATTTTCCTTATAATATTCTACTTCAAATGTCAAAAGCTTGGAGATAAGGACAGATCAATTAAAGATGGACCTATATATTTGCCATATCTATATCTATATCTATATTAATGATATGTGTTGCTGAAGGCTTTCATGGCCAGAATAGTTGGGTTGCTGTGAGTTTTCTGGGCGGTATGGCCATGTTCCAGAAGCATTTTCTCCTGACGTTTACCCACATTTATGGCAGGCATCCTCAGAGGTTGTGAGGTCAAGGTCTGTTGGAAACTTGGCAAGTGATGTTTATATATCTATGGAATGTCCAGGGCAGGAGGCAAGTGTGAATGTTGCAATTGGCTAGCTTGATTAGCATTGAATGGCCTTATAGACTCAAAGCTTGGCTGCTTCCTACCTGGAGGAATCCTTTTTTTGAAAACTCAAAAAACAGGGGAATTCCAGACAGGAAACAATTCGGGCCAGCTAACATCTCCCAACAACCTCAGAGGATGCCTGCCATGGATGTGGGCAAAACATCAGGAAAGAATGCTTCTGAAACATGGCCATTCAACCTGGAAAACTCAACAGCAACCCTATATATGATATATCTGAGGAAGTTTAAATTGAATCAAATTCAATTATTGTTGATAACTTTTAAAATTTACTTTTACCCATCACAAGCAATAAGAAACGTCAAACCAAATCACCGATCAGTCTTCTGTTAATTCATAGCAGAACAACACTTCTCATTTTATATAGGAGATTTCAAATTGTTGTGCTTCCTTTAAGTGAGAGGGGGGAAAAGAGGAAAAGATGTGATCTCATGTTGTGTCTCTTGTTGTGTCTCTTGCCTTTGCAGTAATTGAAAAGATATTAACAACATGTTTGACCAATATGTTCCTCTATAGCCATGGTTAATGTATCCTTGTGTTGTGTCTTTTCTCCCAGAAACCTGAAACTTTTTATAACTCTGTTTAGGGCACTCCTCCCTTTTTTACTTCCTTAATAGGATAATAAAAGCAAGCATCTAAAGGGGGAAATTGAAGTGAAAGATCTCTTTCAAAGCATGCTCTTGTATGTGTGAGTCGTTCAAGTGGTGCTTTAGTAATTTCATTATAAAATTAGTGCAATTGCAGAAATGTTGCATGGCGGTTTTATAAAAATTGATATTTGGATTTGAGATGTTTTGTTTGTGTTTTCTAGATAACAGCTTTAAAAATTAAGTACAACCCCTTTGCAAAAGCTTTTCTTGATGCAAAAGAAAGGTGAGAAATGTGGCCTGCTTTTAGTTGAATTTACAAAGCACATTTCTTCAAGGTATTCAGTCTTTTGGGCTAACAAAATATCATTTTTTTGACAGAAGTGATCACAAGGACATGATGGATGAAGTGGGAGATGGCCAGCAGCCGGGGTATTCACAACGTATGTCTAAGCTCTCTTCTGAAAATTATTATATAATATATCATCACTATCAGTTCTGCCTTGCTCAGGTATCCTTTTTGCTATGTATCTAAGGATGTTTTTCATTAGTAAAATACAGATCTAAGTATTTATACAGATATCCCTTTATTCATATCAGATTCATTATTTTTGTTTATTTTGGGTCAAGCAATATATTGTATGCATTTTTAGATCTATGATAAAATTTAAACATTGTGTACATCCTCTGAAAAAAAGGAGGTTATCCATGTTAAGAAATAGGCAAGCAGACATATCCTTTTGAAATGGACATTAAAACTTTTATTGCTTTAACCATTTAGATTTGCACTTAAAAAGAGCATTCTATGTGTCTCATGGAAACATTCACATCCATGGAAGTTAAATGGGCTGAGTTAAATGAGTTTACTACCCCAAATAAATAAAAATCCAAAATCCTACAAGAGTGTAACATAGTACTAATTCTGGAATATTCTCATTGCTTCAGAGCTCATGGAGCCTTGGTCGCACAAAATTCTGCATTATTTAAGCTTGATTAAATTAATGAATAGTGTTAGAAATGCTAGTGAAAATCATTTCTTTATGGCATTTCTCCATCACCTCCTGATTATTTATTTAATGGTCACAAGAGGCCATCTGGATTGCCCATATTGTTCATAGTTCTGAATGAGAAAAGAAGAGGTGTGAGTGGTGTGGTTCTTCTCCCTCTGTAATAGAATTATAGAATCATAGAATCATAGAGTTGGAAGAGACCTTGTTGGCTATCCAGTCCTGAAGCAGGAAAATCGCATACAAAACACCCCCAACAGATGGCCATCCAGCCTCTGTTTAAAAGCCTCTAAAGAAGGAGCCTCCACCACATTCCAGGGCAGAGAGTTCCACTGCTGAACAGCTCTCACAGTTAGGAAGTTCTTCCTAATGTTCAGGTGGAATCTYCTTTCCTGTTGTTTGAAGCCATTGTTCTGTGCCCTAGTCTCCAGGGCAGCAGACAACAAGCTTGCTCCTTTCTCCTTATGACTTCCCCTCACATATTTATACATGGCCATCTAGTAGGTTGTGTTAGATAATGATGCTGCACTTTCTTAATGATATGGTTGAGAAAATGCACACTTTAATGGCACTGCATCATAGAGGTAAGTATTCCTGCCAAGGGAGTAGAGTTGAGAGCRTAGCCACAATGAAGGAATGTTTGTATTTCTTCATTGAATAAGCAGTTTTCATCCTTTGATGTTCCTGAACAATAAGAGTTTATTGCCATCTTGGACAGACCATATTGTTATATGTTAGCAGGGTGAAAGTTTCCTTCTTCTTAAAGTAGGTGGTTGGCTGATTCCTGGCACAGGGACTCTGTGTCCTCCTACCAATCCTCACACACAATTTGGAGCACCTCTGTCACTGTCGTCTGCCCACAGTTGTGAAAGATATTCATCGCTGAGGAATCATCGCTCAGCTCCTTATCCAAATCCATACACTCATAGAACCAGTTCTCCAAGTAGGTGGTTTGTATTGTCCTCTTGCTGTTTGATGTAATAGGAAGTTGACTAGCAGATTAAATGTAGATAATGGGAAAACAAGGTGATTTAGGAATGCTTCGTATTGTTGACTGCTGAGAAATACATTTTAAAAAAAACATAGTGAACTTGGCAATGGACTGGAGGCGGCCATGTAGACAACATGGCAGATTTAAGGAGATATCACTAGATCATCTATGGAGCCAGTATGAGTGATCTCATAGTTTTAAAAACATTTCCCCTTTGTTTAAGTTTTGAAATATGTTCACAAGTCATGATTACTTATGAATAAATAGTTAAATGGAATGATTTAATGTTCATCTTCTTTAGGAATGCTGTTTTATCTAGTTACTATTAGTTCTTGCTTGAGGAAAATTCTGAATTTTATTAACAGCCTTGCTGAGATCTTACAGACTGAGGACTTGGCTTGACAGAATCAATACATCTGTAATGCAGACTTCCCCCCTATTTTCCTAGTATTACTGTGTTTTTCACATGCCATGTCATCTCATGATATGTTCAAAGTATGAGTTTCAGTTTCATACAACAGTTTCAGTTTTGTCATGTTGCTTTCTAGTGGAATGGACTTTGACTATGGCAATGAGATAGAGCCTGTTTTTAATATAGCTGGGTTTTTAATATAGTTTTATCATGTACTGTTGTTTTTATGAGTTGTTAGAAATGCTTTGTGTTGTTTTATTTACATGTATTTGAGTTTGTATTGTCCTACGTTTGAATGGCATTGAATTGTCCCCAACTGTTAGCTGCTCTGAGTCCCTCCATGAGGGAGAGAGGGCAGGGTATAAAACAAAGTAAGTAAGTAAGTAAATAAATAAATAAAATAGTGCAAAATTGCTTAAAATAAATTCATAAAGTGGGACATACTTCCAAGTATGTGTGCTCACATGCTCAGCTGTATTTCACTTTTAAATTTGCATACTTTAAATTTCATAGGAGTATAATGTAAGACATTTTGTCTCTTATTCCTTAATTCTGTTCAAAGAAGCCTGTTCAGACCTTACATACCATGCTTTATAAGGATATTTCTACACTGCCAAATAATGCAGTGTAGAGGCACATTAGCCTGCATGTGTCCACACAATGCACACAGGCTGGTGCAATTTAATCCAGGATTGCTATTTAATGTTACTGCACCTTGGGTTAAAAAACACAATGGAAGGTCCAGGTTTCAGATCTTTCCATGTGTTCGAGGAGTGGGGACAGCTATCTCCTGATCCCCATGGAACATCCAGAATCAGGTTCTCACAGCCATAGCACATTCCCCAGGCTTAGGTAGTCTGGGAAAGTGGGGTGGCTATCCTCCTTGACCCCCAGCACTCCTGTCCCACAAACAAAGAAAGAAAACTGTACTTAGCTTCATCTACCAACTCTTTTTCTGGTTAGCTGCCATGTGATTGAGCCTATTTGAAGCTGCTTTCCTTAGTCACATAGGGGCAAACTAGGAAATGGATACCCAGCAGATCAAGGTAAATACTGTTTTCTTACAGGGGGGGAGGGGAGTGAGGGTGCTAGGGTGGTGGTGGTTAGAATCCTGTTCAATTCCTGTGCTGATACCAGTTTCAGCATGGCTGGATGGTGGGGCAAGTGTCTTGGTTCCAAGGTAGTTGACAGCACCCCCTATGCAGCTGTAATACAGCTCCGAACTAATATTTTTCATACTGGCTGGAGCTGCATTTATGGCAGTGCAGAACAGCTCTTAAATCCAGAAGTGACAGATGGATTGATTGGTCACATCTGCTGCCTTCATCCCAGTTTTTAAATAGAAACATTTTAATGACTTTCTGATAAACAAAGATACAGTATCACAAAGATTATTATTTTTCACTTTAGAGACTTCTCTTGTTTTGCAGCCGCTTATGGGGACAGTTCTTCAGCTTGCCTTTCTATGCTTCAGCCACATGACAATTGGTCCAGTTTGGGGGTCCCACCGCCAACAAGTATGTTGCCTATGAGTCACAATACTGGTCCTCCAACCAGCTCCAGGTATTCCTAATTTCATATGCAATAAAACTTTTACATTTTCACAATCTGAAATGAACCTTTTAAAAAAGGAATTTGTTGTCAGTGGCTGTGCAAAACTCATTGAATTGAACAGAAATTCTAGAAGAGCACACTTGCAGTCTAGTTACAAGCTCTGCTAAGACAAGGTTCAGACTGATCTAAAGCCTTGGGATATGGTCAGGGGTTGTAACAAATGGGTTGTTGTTGTTGGTTTTTTAAAAACACATTATAATCTATCTCCTGTCCCAATCTATGTCCCTTGAATTTCTGGGACTGGCATTGACTTTATGAATCCAAGGTGGGGTGGGGGCTTTGTTCCATGTCACGTGAGTTTTTGAAATATACATGGGTAAATTTATATATTTATATTCACTGCCTTGATGAGAGGGAATTTAACCACATTTTGGTCCCTATATTTGGGGCATTATTATGCCCAGGAGCAGGCTTTTTTTTTTTTTTTTTTTGCAACAGCAAATCAGTTTGAAATGAGTATTATTGTAATATGTGCCTTCAAGTTATTTCAGACTTAATGGTGGATGAACATATCACAGGGTTTTCTGAGACTGAAAGTGTGTCATTCACACAGTCATCTGCTTTATTTACCTGGCTGAGTAAAAAAATGAACTCTGCTCTCTAGAATTCAACCCAAACCACTGCACCATATTGCCTTACTAATCAGGTGTTATCAAGGACATTTGAGATCAAATAATTAGAAAAAAATAGGGAGCTTAGTGTGGTGTGGAGGGCTATAGTCCTCCAATGCCTCTAAAGCGTGTCTGCCTTAACCCTTGGCAGCTGGCTTCCCTTGTCTTATGGGCTTCAACTGAAATAGAACTGTTTCCCTTGCAGGATTTTCCAATGATCTACATAGGTAAAGGTAAAGATTTCCCCTGACATTAAATCTAGTTAAGTCCAACTCTGGGAGGTGGTGCTCATTTTCATTTCTAAGCTAAAGGGCCGGCATTGTCCGAAGATGCCTCCTAGATCATGTGGACAGCATAACTGCATGGAGCACCGATACCTTCCCGCAGAAGTCATACGTACTGCTTTATTCACATTTGCATGTTTTTGAACTGCTAGGTTGGCAGAAGCTGGGCCTAGCAGTGGGAGCTCAACTCGCTTCCCGGATTCAAACCACCAACCTTTCATTTAGGAACTTCAGCAGTTCAGTGGTTTAACCCACTGCACCACCAAGGGGCTCATAATGATTTATATAGGACAGTGAAAATGAGCAAAATAGCAATCTAGTGAGAGCTGCCCCACATTTGTTATTGTATGACTTCCAACAGGGCTCAGGAGGAGCTGTGTTGAGCTGTCATGTATTCACATCTGTACACCCAGTGGATTCATGACTGAGCCTACTGATTGTACAATATCTAACTTGAATTTTAAAATTTGTTTTTCTTTCTCTTACAGCCAGTATCCCAATTTGTGGTCTGTGAGCAACAGCACCATCTCACCAGTGTCACAAACAAGTGGGGTGCCCAGTGGGATAGGATCCCAATTTTTGCGAGGCTCAGCAACCCATTACCCTGCCCTTTCTCATTCAGTCACTACTGCTTCCTCGGGATCTCCATTGTATGACAGTGGGACACCGACAGACATTGCTGACAGCCAGTATGATGCCTCGGTGCATGCTAGACTTGCTTCCACATGGACACCTGTCACAACTCCTTCTATGTAGACCTTATGAACAGAGACTTTGTTGCTGCTCTAAGATGGTAATCCAGAAGGAAGATTTCAGGAGGGTTGAGGGAAAAATCATGAGGCTAATGGCAAAGTGACTGCACTAATTGCTTTATGGTCCTTTCAGTATTATGATGTATTGATAATGGCACAGACACCTTACAAAAAGAGTACACAACCTATTTTGACCATGCAGATTATAATGGAATTGGGTTGCTGTAAGTTTTTCAGGCTGTATGGTCATGTTCCAGAAGCATTCTCTCCTGACTGGAATTGCATACTATGCCTGTTTCCATCTTTTCAAAAATATTCCAGAAAGGGAACTATGCATATATACACTTACAATACTAAAATTGATTCACACATTCATGTCTATATCTCTTTTGGATATGTCCAGAAAAGCTTCTGACAAAAATCCCTTGTTGGTCTTAGAGTTCAACAAGACATTTTATTCTTTTTGTTTCACTAGATTGACACAGTTATCTCATCTGAAGTGCTTCATCTGATAATACAGATATTTGTATAAGAAGCTTATGATGAGAAGCATCAAAACTTTTTCTGCATTTCCAGTTCAATATTAGTAATTTCATCATTTTCATGTTCATGACTGATGACAGCAACATCATGTGTGATGTTGGATAAAATGTTGTAGGTTTACTGCAAAAAAGTAACAGTTCAATATGTGTTTCTTATAAGATATGTTTTCTTTAGTAAAGACTCCACCAGATCCATAATGAATGGGTTAGCACACTCCGGGAATAAATCGAAGTCTCATGTTGGATGTTTTTGATATACCATGGCCTGAACCAATAATTACCTCATCTGATACTTTTTTCATCCTAATTGATTATGGAAAGAAAAGGGGCCTGGCACATTTGGAATAGTGTGTACTGGCTCAAACTGGAATGCTTTCCTTGTTTGAAATACATCCGTGCAATCAGCCTTAAAAAGATGTTACCTGGAAAATATTGAAACCAAATAATAGATGTGCCTTGACCATATCATTACCCTCCAATTTGCAGATCTATGCACAATTCAATGCTTGTTTTCTTGTGACTAACTTGAAATGACAATCAAAAAAGAGCTCTTTCCTGTATAGCAAATACAGTTTTCAAAGTTTTAAAAGCAAGTTCTTTTTTAAAAAAGTGCCTCTATGTACAAGTGACTTTTATTCTTATGCAGTGCAATCATATGCATATTTACTCAGAAGACAGTCCCACTGTACAGAGGGATTTAATTCAAGGTAAATGTGCACAAGACTGCAGCCTGAAAACTGACACAACACACTTAGGACCTTTGTAGATATCTGTTTGTCCACATTTCTATTTGTATATTCTCAGAAGTCACAAGCAATTCATTGAAAAGTGATTACAGTAGAGTCTCACTTATCCAACCTTCACTTATCAATGTCCTGTATTATCCAACAGTCTGCCTCCCGCCTGGATCCACAGCTGTTTCAATACATTGCAATGTTTTTGTCCTAAATTTGTAAATACAGTAATTACTACATAACGTTACCATGTATTGAACTGCTCTTTCTGACGTTTTGTTGTAAAAAATGATGTTTTGGTGCTTAATTTGTAAAATCATAATGTAATTTGATGTTTAATAGGCTTTTCCTTAATCCCTCCTTATTATCCAACATTTTCACTTATCCAACATTCTGCTGGTCTGTTTATGTTGGATAAGCGAGACTCTACTGTATATTTTACCATTATGCATACAGTTGGTGAACATATCACCAATGATCATATAATACAAACTATATTTAGTTTTCTTACCTGCAATTATTTCTGTATAGAAATCTGTCAAGTGTGTGAAACTGTCCTTAACAATAATAATTGGTTGTTTCAGGCTGTTCAAAAGACTGTTATGTGTTTAAAGACATTGTTAAAAATATGCTTGAAATCCAGCCATAAGTAGAGAGTGCACATTTTAAGGGCTTTTTCTTATTTATTTTATGTCAGCATTGACTTTCATATATTTATTTGTTAGGATACTTTTGTATATGTATATATTTTTGCCTGTTTACAGTATATCTTAAGACAATCAACTGCGGAACATGTCATTCAACATTTATGATTGATTCGAATGTGAGGAATGGGTTCTCATTTTGCAAATCTTTTTTTACTTGAGTAGAACTTTGCATCCTCATAGATCTGGAGTCAAAATCTCTTTCCAACCTGTGTAGTCCAGGGCTTAAATTGTGCTGTTTATAAGGCAGTACCTAGAAAGACAGCAGAACCATGGCCATTATTTGAGAAACCCCCTTCAGTATTGTAAATAGGTTCTCCTGCTTTGTTATGAAAGCTGAATTCTGTAAAGTAAGTATGCACATTATATTATTGTTTCTTGTGTTAGGTGAAAGTATGTGTACTTGTATTTGTACTCATTTTTAAATGTATTCAGTTAAACTGTGAAACAAAGTAGTAAAGTTTCTTTAATAAACCAAATGCTTAGCTACCTCTTGGTGAAATATTTTATTAATACCACACTAATAGATCATTCTCTTCAAGCACAGGATCCGTCAGAATGCAATAACTGGGTGTTATTTTGTAAAGACAGTGACAACAGACCTCCTTCATTTTAAGAACGGAGACCATTGTTCTTGAACCCAAGTCAATCTTTCTGCAGAAGGGGAGTGATAATTACATAGTTCCACTCATTGTGTGTGTAAGCAGAACATTTTCTATTCTTGATTAACTTTTGATTGTGGCTGGATCTGCACTGTCATATAATCCAGATTATCAAAGTAGATAATATGGATTTTATTTGGCAGTGTATGGAGCCATGGTGGCACAGCGGGTTAAATTGCTGAGCTGCTGAACTTGCTGACTAGAATATTGGCAGTTTGAATCCACAAGATGGGGTGAGCTCCTGCTGTCAGCCCTAGCTCCTGACTAGCTCCTCACATTTGCAGTTCAAAAACATGCAAATGTGAGTAGATCAATAGATACCACTTCGGCGGGAAGGTACCTCAGTTCCATGAGGTAATGCCAGCCACATGACTTAGGAGGTGTCTACAGACAACGATGGCTCTTTCGGCTTAGAAATGGAGATGAACACCACACCCCAGAGTCAGATTCAACTAGACCTAATGTCAAGGGGAAATTTTTTACCTTTACCTATGGCAGTGTAGATGGGACCTGAGGTACTTATATGTTGATGATACATAGAATATAAGTCCTTGTGATAATACATAGCCTATAATTACTAGCCAACACAGTAAAGCAACTGAATAAGCACAAATTTTACTGTCTTGCATTCATTGTAACACGTGTGGAAGGAAAGCTCTCTTTACCTAGCTTTCCAAGCAGAGCTGGGCCACATTCCTACCAGTTTTCCTATACTTTTAACTAGATAATCCTGAAACCTCCATGTCTTGGAAAGACAAAAGAAAGTGGACTGTATACTTACTCCCTGTAAGTATCTTGATGTCATGGCCTATGGCTAGTACAATAAACAATTCATTCAACTACTCCCTGTAATCTCTATTGAAGAGGAGTTGGTGTGAGGCATCTTGCACACCGTTTCCTCCTAGTTGACTCCATAATATGAGAGTGAGCATGGTGTAATGGTTTGAGTGTTGAACTAAATCTCCAGTATTCAAATCCCTATTCAACCACAGAAACCCACTGGGTGATGTTGGCGGAATCACACTATCTCAGCCCTTGAGAAAGACAATGAGAGACCTTTTCTGGATCAATATTAGCAAGGAGACTTCATGTGAGTTTCAGTCAAAGATTACTTGGAGATACATAGCTAAGTGCTACCACTTGCTTATACACCTTAACTTTAAACTGGAAGCTCTCCAGATATAATGTAATTACATAATGTTGCAAATTGTCAAGTCTTTTGGACATATCAGCCCAGATCAAAGCAGAGCAAACCCTATTATTCCCAAGTGCTTCTTAGTCTGTAGAATGAGTAAATCGTGAGAAACAGTGGGTGAAGTCAGAGACTTGTGGTTAGGCATTAATTTAATTGATTTCAGAATACAACAAAACTGAATTAAATAACAAAATACATAGCTATAATGAAAATAATATTTTGAATGTCTGTATTTCTAAGATGGTATTAGTAATTTATGAAACTCCAACAGCTATTGTAAATAACAACCTAGGAAATTCACAGAATACATCCCAAAGTGTGATGAAATGTGTAAGAGAAACTCTCTCTTGTCATTTGAGTGTCAGGAGAGGATCTAGTGATGGACCACTATCACTCTATGGTCACTTGCTATGGCCACTATCTGCTCCACCCCCCAAGATAGTTTACTAGAATTACTTGAGTCACACTACTTGAGTCAACTTCATTTCTGTAATTGCCTGCTCCTAGTTAATTCTCAGCTGAGGCAAGTGAGTTATAATGTCTGGCAAAGTGCATTAGCTGGAAAAAGTTAGTGTCAGATTGGCCTTGGAGACAGTGGTTTGAGTGTTGGCTGACTCTCAAGGACTAGGGTTCCAAGTCCTACTCAGCCATGCAAATCCTTTGGATTGTCTTGGGCAAATCATATTCCCTCAGTCTCAGAGAAAGGCAATGACACCTCCCCCACCCCCGCACGAATTAATATTGACAAGGAAATCCTGTGTTGGATTTACCTTATGATCTCAATTGGTCAGAAATGACTTGAAGACAAATAACAAGAACGCCTATGTTTATTGGTCAATATGTAACTCATCAATCAATGGGCAACTGTGACAAATCTCTCTGTGTGTGTTCCGGCTCTGGGACCCTCCAGTGGCCTTACAGATTGCCAAAAATGCCCAACCATCCTTGAGAAATTAGATATGTTAAGAGATTCATTTCTGGTTTTGAAACATTGCATGGTCCAGGGACATACTTTGCTCACATTTCATTTTATCATTTCCTCCCTCCTTGATCCCCTTTGTGATTCATATAGTAATGTATAATCAAACAGTCTAAGCAATGTAAGTGATACAGTTCAACTCAACAGTCAAATTATTAAAATGACTATTGAGTATTCTTTGTCCTCCA